TTAACTGGCGCTGGTGACATTGTTACTTGGTGCGCTGACGATGCTTCATGTGCAGTAAGTATACTTTGGCGCTGTCTTGATAGAGCGGGGCCCAGGTAGAGGGGGCGGCCGCTGGAAGGCTGTGGCGACAGCGTGGGAGCTGTAGCGACAGCGGATGTATGTATGGTGATGAGAGCATGCTGATGTGGCATTTTGGCTGCGCATGGTGACGAGAGCATGCTGATGAGCAAAGGAGGAGAGGAGGGGGGCAGGAGGGGAGGAGCAGTGGAGAAATGGAGGAGGATGAGTGGCGGAGGGGGTACGGATAAGCTGCAGAGAAGGGGCGGATGAGCGGAGGAGGCAGGGAGGAGGAGCCGAGGAAGGGCAGAGGAGGAGGGGCCGAGGAGGAGAGGAGGAGCGGAGGAGGAGCGATGAAGCGGAGGAGGAGGAGCGGAAGAGGAGCGGAGAAGCGGAGGACGGGCTGAGAGGGAGCGTAGGGGGGAGTACAAGAGCAGAGAAGGGGCAGAGGAGCGGACGGGGAGCAGGGGAGCGGAGGGGGAGCAGAGGAGCAGCGGAGGTCCAGAGGAGGCACTGCGAATGGGAGGGGGAGGAGGGGTGGAGGCACGGAGGATGAGCGGAGAAGGAGAGGCGGCGGAGGAGCAGCGGAGAAGGATGAGCGGGGGAGAGGGGTGGAGGAGCGGAGGTTGAGCGAAGGAGGTGGGCGAGGAGGATGAGCGGAGGAGGAGAGGGGGAGGCGCAGAGGAGCTGCGAGGAGGAGAGGTGGAGGAGGGGCGGGGGAGCAGGGGAGGAGCAGCAGAATAGGAGTGAAGGATGGGAGGACGGGAGGGGGAATGGAGGAAAGGCGGGGGCTCCTGCAGTCAGTGGCGGCGGGGAGTAGCGATGCCACTAACTTGAGTCTCCCATCTCGGAGCGGCGGCCAAACACAGTCCATAGATCACACAGGCCCACCACAGCTCATGGCTAACCACAGTCGCGTCAAAGAGAGAGAGAGAGAGAGAGAGAGAGAGAGAGAGAGAGAGAGAGAGAGAGTTGTCGTGTTCGCTATATGCAACTCCCCAAAGAAGCATGACTCCGCCAGACTGTTTCGTCGGACTTTCACCGACTTATCAGGAGGTTGAACCCAGATAGTGTGCAGGAGAAAGTGGTCAACCATTAGTCCAAGAGAGTGTGTGTGTGTGTGATGCCATGTTCGCCATACAACTCCACAAACATTGAGTTCGAACTGTGTGTGTGTGTGTGTGTGGTTGAAGCCCAACAGCGTGTGTGTGTGTGTGTGTGTGAGAGAGAGAGAGAGAGAGAGCGAGAGAGTGAGTCGAGCGCGGTGGAGGGCGTTCGCAGAGGCGGTACCCAACACGAACGACGACAGCAACAGCTCATAAACCCTGGGCACGAAGTTGGACAAAAAATGGCGCTGATTGAAATGGCGCATTGCAACGGACAAAGGCGGCGTGAGGTACCCAAAGTTGCCTGCTATCTCGGTTGTTGGGCCCGAGGTACCGGGCCAACGGCCTAGATTTGTAGCACCCGACGGCCCATATCGCAGATTTGTTACATTCCTTCAACGATCTGGGCGAACAGTCCGGTAGCACCCAGCGACCCAGATCCCAGACTTCTTACCTTTCTTCAACGATCTGGGCTGTCAGTCCGGTCGGACCACGACGGCCCAGATTTCAGATTTGTGACGCTAGCGATTTTAATAGTGTAGAGAAAGTTTCCGACAACGGTCAATCAATATAACATCTTGTCTCGTCATCTCACTTCTACCTCCAGCCTTCTTGGCTCTTTCTTGGCACCTCACGGTCATCAACATATCCCTATACCGACAATGAGGCTGGTATATCTCTCACAAGCACCTTGCTGGTATATCTCTCACAAGCTATGTATCCCCCGCGGCTGCGGTCACCACGGGCATGACCGCGGGCCCGCGGTCATGACCGCTGCGGCCGCGGTCGAAAACGGCGCGCCGCGGGCGAGGGGGAGGGGGTACCGGACGTCGGGGTCGGGATTCCGGGGGCGCACCCAAGGCCCCACCCCCCCACATTGAAAAAAAATAAAAAAACT